GCCTGTATCCCAGCACTTTGGGAGGCCAAGGCGGGCAGATCACCTGCGAGGTCAGGAGTTTGAGACCAGCCTGACCCTGAAAATACAAGATTAGCTGGGCATGGTGGCGCATGCCTGTAATCCCAGCTACTCAGGAGGCCGAGGCAGGAGAATCACTTGAACCCAGGAGGCGGAGGTTGTGGTGAATTGAGATCGCGCCATTGCACTCCAGCCTGGATAACAAGAGTAAAACTCCATCTCCAAAAAGGAAAAAAAAGAATGACCACAGATGCCATAAGGGCAAGAATCATGTCCATCTCTTTGTCACCACATCCCCAATCCTGGCACCTAGGAAGGGCTCAGTAAATGTTCCTTGCATGAGCTCAGCTAGCTCAGGGACTATTGTGAGGATCCAGTTCACAGATGGCAGACAGCCAGCACTCCCACTTCTTTCTGCATTTCACCACTGAATGACAAGCCGCAGTGCCCGCCGGGGCTCCTCCTGGTGAGTCAAGAGGAAGCAATTTGTTTCATCCTTGTCGCTCCCATTCTCCAAGGGGTGGTAGAATTGGAAGTTGGCCCCCTCCTGGCAGGCCCCCAGGGAAGTGGCCCGAGGCTGTCCCTCACCCATGAGTGACGGCCATGCATCCCTGGGGAGCTCGGAAGCCCAGAACGGGCCCTTTCCACCACTCCTGTCGGCCCACTGAGAATGATGCATTTGTTAACCCCAGAACGAGATCGCCAACCCCGAATGGTTCATGCGCTGACCCTAAAATTCATGCCTTTTGCAAAGCCACCCAACAGTGACCAGAGATCCGGCTTCCTCCCCATCCATCTGCCGCACCCTGACTCCTTCAAGTGTCGCCTGGCCGCAAGGCAAGACCAGGCTGCGTGACGAGACGAAACCAGCAGACGGGTTGCAGAATCGCAGGACTGACTAGCCAAGAGCTGCGCCTGTGTCCACCTTTGCCGAGAGGCCAGCAGGGCAGGGCCCTGGGAGGGGCGGAGCCTGGTCTGCAGCCCCTGGATCCCTGCCAACCCCAGACAACTGTGCCTCCTTAGGAAGTGGAGAATACCTTGCTGACTACAAGCCGAGACTCATAGAGGCACATGCTGCAGGTAGAGGCCTCCCCAGGAGCCCCTCGCGTGTGTAGCAGCCTGAAAAGCCAGGCTGCTGCAGAGGTGAGTGCCTGGTGTGATGGGGAAAGCGTGGGGGGCCACCCGGAGGCACACCCCCGTGAAACGGGAAGCCCTTCTCCTCTCCCTCCCCTCACCACCAACAAGCCTGTTGTCCCTCTGGTCACCGCCTGAGCACCAAGGCTTCCCAGGGTCTTCAGGGACGGTCTCATCTCCCTTTCGCCTCTGCCCTGCCTCTGGCCATGGCCCCTTACGTACTCCAATACCCTCCCACACCTCTCCAGCCGCCTCTCCCCGAAGCAGCACCGCTGCGTTCCACGAGCCTTCGTCCCTCCCCCTCACTGGAGCTGCGCCCAGCCTGGGCTCCCTTAGCTGGAAATTCTCAACCCCTGTGCTTGCTCAACCTGGCCTTCCCCAACCTCCCTGGGGGCCCAGCTGAAACCTGCGCTGACACCCCCACAGGTCGAGGCTGTCCCTCCCTGCCTGGCAGGTAACCACACTGTCAATAAGAGCCTAAACTTGACCTCCCACCGTTCGCCGAGGCCTGTGAACGCACAACCCCCCACTTATGGCTTGACCTTGTCATGTTTGTGGCGCTCCTGCATCTGCGAGTGCCTGTTAGGGTCGGAGCTCCACACATATTTGTTGTTCTGACAGGAGGA